ATATATAGCCGTTATTAAACAATAAGTATGCAATATATACATACCTTATACATTATATATAATTATACGGATTCGGATTAAGTAGTGATACCACAAGTTTACGAACTTCGATGCTACGTTGACGCAATCTCACCATGACGTCATGATAATGATAAAAGTATAAATCACCTTCCTTATGTTTGTTAAATAAAAATGCTAAATTTTTTGTGTGTTTCCTATCTCCCTAATCCTGTTTGATCGTAAGTTAGATGGTAGTATATCCACTCACAATAGTGTAGTCGCAATAACTACTTGCACAAAAGGGAAATTCAAAAAGGAAGAGAGAAAAGGAAAAACCTCTTGAGTGATTTAACAAGTATTGTACATGCAAAGAGGCTATAGAATTAGAGACTGGTTTATCTTATTTGTTTTTCATGGTTCGAATACGTCACAAGCTAATCAGTAAATAATAAATCATTATTTTTATAAATGTCCGTTGGTACGAAATATATAAGGGGGCATGATTATAGGCTAAAGTGAAAAACTTTTTATGATGAATATTTCAGTGGAAGATTCAAGGGGGCCCAGCTGGCCCACCTACCTACCTCCCTATTTTTTTTTTTTTTTTAGAAGTTTAAGTCTGAGGGTGGCACTTCCGACTAACTAGAGGTGCCATAATCATAAATTTTTTGAGGTGGTCTACACTTAAAATTCCCTCCCTGGGCCCCCTCTATTTCGAACTCATGGATCCGCCACTGTATTTTGAAAATGTAGTGTTAAAATAAATGTTAATTGCATTCCTTAAAATAAATTAAATACAACTTTAAAGGCTATAAACGCCAGAGCTTCCGGGGGCTTCACCCCCGGACATCCACCGGGGCCCAGGTGGCCCACTGGCTCCCAGACAAGGCTTGGGCCTACGCCCATGTGACAAAAACATGTCACATGGGCGTCAAATAGAATTCTCTGGACAGTGATTCATTCCTTTAAAAAGCGAATTGTTTAATCCCACCCTGCATATTTTCATATTATTCTAAATTACCTTTCCATTTAAAATCCCAGTTTCTGTTCGGATCGACACCTATGCATGACGTGTTGTTATGGACAGAACGGGTCCTTCGCCAAAACAGCTTTTCCAAGCCCTACACATAATGACGTTTAAATAGCAATTAAATTATAGGCAGAGTAGAAGTAGAAGGATTTTGGGTGCTTAAACAAAAAGTTAATATAATATACCTTGCAATTTAAAAGATAATATATTATAATTATCATACAAGATCAATTTTAGTGAAAGAGGAACACATTTTTTTTTGTAACTGTGGTCTGCTTAAAGTGGTAGGAAGTTTTGCAGAAGTGAGGTTTGGTCGGGTTGACAGAACTCTGCACCATTCCTTGTCTGCATACATTCCGGGCCTATTTTATGAGCGAATGTGAAATAAAAGTGTTCAGACGTACTTCTCGGTTTGGTACTCCTAAACTATTGAAGTATTCTCGAACAGATGTTACATTTTCCATCGGTATCATTGCATATTCATATCCATCTATATTCATAACGGGTAGTAAGTACCACACAATTTCGTCCACTAATTCTGTCACTATCTTATCATTTCCGTACTGCTCCAGTATCTAAGATAAAACGATAACTATGCAAACATTAAAACACATAAAGGAACCCTCTGTATATAGACAGCATGCGACTTCTCGCTATTAAAGCTTTTGGTGTTGTTTCGATTCAACTGGACACACACATAGGCCTACACAAATCTCGATTATTTTAGGGAAATTCCATGGGTTAATGTTCATGTTTTCAAGTTCAAGTTTTTCATGTTCCGTCTCAAGCACCATTTTATAAAGCAGATATGTGCGCTATATACATCTTATTTATTTTTATCATCATTATCATCATCATCATCATCATCATTATATATATAATATGTATATGAATATATATATATGTTTATATTTATATATATACATCTGTATTTATATAAATATATATACATATATATATATATACCCCGTGAAATGGCGTCCATTTTAAATCCCTGTCTCTTATACACATCTAGATGTGTATAAGAGACAGACCTTATACAATACGGATTCGGATTAAGTAGTGATACCACAAGTTTACGAACTTCGATGTTACGTTGACGCAATCTCACCATGACGTCATGATGATGATAAAAGTATAAATCACCTTCCTTATGTTTGTGAAATAAAAATGCTAAATGTTTTGTGTGTTTCCTATCTCCCTAATCCTGTTTGATCCTAAGTTAGATGGTAGTATATCCACTCACAATAGTGTAGTCGCGATAACTACTTGCACAAAAGGGAAATTCGAAAAGGAAGAGAGAAAAGGAAAAACCTCTGAGTGATTTAACAAGTATTGTACATGCAAAGAGACTATAGAATTAAAAATAAGAATTAAAATAAATGTTAATTGCATTCCTTAAAATAAATTAAATACAACTTTAAAGGCTCAGATAAACGCCAGAGCTTCCGGGGGCTTCACCCCCGGACATCCGCCGGGCCCAGGTGGCCCACTGGCTTCCTGACAAGGCTTGGGCCTACGGCGGCCATGTGACAAAAGCATGTCACATGTTTTGTCAAATAGAATTCTCTGGACAGTGATTCATTCCAAAAAGCGAATTGTTTAATCCCACCCTGCATATTTTCATATTATTCTAAATTACCTTTCCATTTAAAATCCCAGTTTCTGTTCGGATCGACACCTATGCATGACGTGTTGTTATGGACAGAACGGGTCCTTCGCCAAAACAGCTTTTCCCAGCCCTACACATAATGACGTTTAAATAGCAATTAAATTATAGGCAGAGTAGAAGTAGAAGGATTTTGGGTGCTTAAACAAAAAGTTAATATAATATACCTTGCAATTTAAAAGATAATATATTTTAATTATCATACAAGATCAATTTTAGTGAAAGAGGAACACATTTTTTTTTGTAACTGTGGTCTGCTTAAAATGGTAGGAAGTTTTGCAGAAGTGGGGTTTGGTGGGGTTGACAGAACTCTGCACCACTCCTTTTCTGCATACATTAGGCCTATTTTATGAGCGAATGTGAAATAAAAATGTTCAGACGTACTTCTCTGTTTGGTACTCCTAAACTATTGAAGTATTCTCGAACAGATGTTACATTTTCCATCGGTATCATTGCATATTCATATCCATCTACATTCATAACGGGTAGTAAGTACCACACAGTTTCGTCCACTAATTCTGTCACTATATTATCATTTCCGTACTGCTCCAGTATCTAAGATAAAACGATAACTATGCAAACATTAAAACACATAAAGGAACCCTCTGTATATACACAGCATGCGACTTCTCGCTATTAAGGCTTTTGGTGTTGTTTCGATTCAACTGGACACACACATAGGCCTACACAAATCTCGATTATTTTAGGGAAATTCCATGGGTTAATGTTCATGTTTTCAAGTTCCAGTTTTTCATGTTCCGTCTCAAGCACCATTTTATAAAGCAGATATGTGCGCTATATACATCTTATTTATTTTTATCATCATTATCATCATCATCATCATCATCATTATATATATATATAATATGTATATGAATATATATATATGTTTATATTTTTATATATACATCTGTATTTTTATATACATATATATATATATATACCCCCGTGAAATGGCGTCCATTTTAAATCCTATGTGCCGATTTTGGTAATACACCCCCGTAAAATGGCGTCCATTTTAAATCCTATGTACCGATTTTGGCAGATGCGTGTTTGGCTTATTGATAATCGATTGATTGTGTGATTAATTTACAGTTTACATGGAGAAAGAAAGCTTTTACCTGCTGGATAATGAAGACCACAGTTGCAGGAGCGATTTTTTCACGTGCATGAATACCGCCCTCAATCCATATCCCTGGCTTCTTGTTTCCACCTGTGTCGCTCGTAATCTATGGATGGTATCCTCGTTAGGTCATTAATTAGTGTTTTATAGTTAAACATACTTCTTATATCCATATTGTGTGATATGATGAACGAATAGATGAACATATATACGTGTTATATTATCTTTAAGTGAACGTATAGTTAATGTCAACTATATCTAGGTTCGGATCTATCTGAAAAACTATCTGTTGTCAATATAGGCCTACCGTACGGTACTTTATATAAGTAATGTCTACATGAGAGATGGAACATAAATAATATAATTTTAAAATTTGATTTGTCATCAATTGTGGTTATTTACAATATATTGGTTGATCAACCAATTTTTTTTCACTGTTTTTGATAATTGAATTTGTATTTTTAATTTGTATAAGGAGTAATTAGGCCTATTATTATTAGTAGTAGTATGGTATTATATTATGATGATAATACTTTATTAATAATGATCATCACCATCATCATGAGGATGATGATATGGCAATAATGATTGTGATGACGATGATAATGAAAACAACAGTAGCAACAATAACAAAAGCAATATTATTATTAATAATAAACATAATGATAATGATTATAATATATGCAGATTATGATGATAATGATGATTATGATGATAAAAATGTTCTTGTTGTTGTTGATGATGATGATGATGACGACGACTACGACGATGGCAATAGCTATGATTATGACAACGCGACAAGGAAAATGACTACGATTATGACAATGACAATGGCAAATTTAGTTTGCACTACCCTTAGTAGGTATGCTGCTTTGGGCAGTATACCTTATGCCATAATTGTAGGTCGTACCTTGATAACATACATATCTCGACCCTCAAACGTCTTTCCTATTGTAAATAATGAAGCGATATTGTTGTGTCTTTGCACCAAAGTTTTCAACCAGGCGGTGATCTAGAATTTACAAAAGAAACAAATTGTTCGTATAGTGCTTTGTCCACGTTTATGACATTTTACGCGTCAAATTATGTGAGTTTTTCCCATATATGGACATGATGGGCAAATCTCGGGTATTTGTCACATAAAACCCTGTTAGAGTGAACAGATCCCATGCAGGCAGAGATGCTTTATTGTTTCCTGCGCAATGACAAGCCGGGCACCCACTGAGTCGTAATACGGCGCACGATCGTCGCATGAAGAATCCAAATCCCCTCCCTGTGAGTGCTAGAATACGCCGTCTGCTGATTGGCGGTGGCAGTTTCAACGGATCGCCATTATATAAACGATACGTTGTGCGCGCGTAGTCGCGTTGCCTTGCTTTATCGAATCGCGTCGGCGCGCCGACGACCGCCGGGCGCAGTGAGTGCCAGGGCCTACGGGAAAACTGCTAAAACTACTATAATTGCCTCAGCTCCAAAACAAAATTTGAATAGGTAACGCGCAACACCCACAAAATATTATAATTTAGAATCTTTAATTAAATTTCATTTCATTATTCAGAACAACAGAAAATCATCGCCACTAAGCTAATATAAAGTTACTTAACTTCTTTTAACAAATACATTGTAATGATAATAAATTAAGGTCGGAGCCTGACCTCATCGTATGTGTGGTACCGGGTGTGGTCATATTCAGCGTCACTCACGTCACGTGGTTTTCTTAATTTTTCAGCGAGCTTTTCTTCAACGTTTTCAACCTGATTAAAATAAAATGTAAGTAACAGTTTGTCTTGATGGAAATAAATACCAAAAATAGAAAGCGATTACATGAATGAAAGACTAGCAAATATTTTTTAAAAAATTGAAAAAAAAAATACTTATGGTTTAGAAAAAAATCTGAAAAGAAGCCTAGAAATCACTTTTTGAGAAGTTGTATTTTTAATTTGTATAAGGAGTAATTAGGCCTATTATTATTAGTAGTAGTATGGTATTATATTATGATGATAATACTTTATTAATAATGATCATCACCATCATCATGAGGATGATGATATGGCGATAATGATTGTGATGACGATGATAATGAAAACAACAACAGCAACAATAACAAAAGCAATATTATTATTAATAATAAACATAATGATAATGATTATAATATATGCCGATTATGATGATAATGATGATTATGATGATAAAAATGTTCTTGTTGTTGTTGATGATGATGACGACGACTACGACGATGGCAATAGCTATGATTATGACAACGCGACAAGGAAAATGACTACGATTATGACAATGACAATGGCAAATTTAGTTTGCACTACCCTTAGTAGGTATGCTGGTTTGGGCAGTATACCTTATGCCATAATTGTAGGTCGTACCTTGACAACATACATATCTCGACCCTCAAACGTCTTTCCTATAGTAAATAATGAAGCGATATTGTTGTGTCTTTGCACCAAAGTTTTCAACCAGGTGGTGATCTAGAATTTACAAAAGAAACAAATTGTTCGTATAATGCTTTGTCCACGTTTATGACATTTTACGCGTCAAATTATGTGAGATTTTCCCATATATGGACATGATGGGCAAATCTCGGGTATTTGTCACATAAAACCCTGTAAGAGTGAACAGCCCCCTAGGCAGAGACGCTTTATTGTTTCCTGCGCAATGACAAGCCGGGCACCCACTGAGTCGTAATACGGCGCACGACCGTCGCATGAAGAATCCAAATCCCCTCCCTGTGAGTGCTAGAATACGCCGTCTGCTGATTGGCGGTGGCAGTTTCAACGGATCGCCATTATGGCTACGTTCAGACCTGTGAGATACGCCAGGCGTATCTAACGCCAGGCGTACGTTAATCAATGGCGTAACTAGCGAGATGTCCAGACTGGGCGATTAATGAACGCTAGCGTAAGTATTCGCGCGAAATATTCGTATTCGTAATTCGCGCATTTTATTTTCTGTTTACATCTAGGTTTATTTTGATTGGTCAAATCTTGGCTGAGTTCAAAATCATCGATGCGTGACTGTCGTAAATCAGTGGCGTACGCTAATCTGGGGTCTGTTGCTGGATTACCGTACGCCAGTGATTGCGCGATAATACTGGCGTTCGCTACGCCGCGCACAAGTTCACACCACTCGATTAACGTTACGCTAGCGTAAGTCGTTGTGTCTGAACATAGCCTATATAAACGATACGTTGTGCGCGCGTAGTCGCGTTGCCATGCTCTATGGAATCGCGTCGGCGCGCCGACGACCGCCGGGCGCAGTGAGTGCCAGGGCCTACGGGAAAACTGCTAAAACTACTATAATTGCCTCAGCTCCAAAACTAAATTTGAATAGGTAACGCGCAACACCCACAAAATATTATAATTTAGAATCTTTAATTAAATTTCATTTCATTATTCAGAACAACAGAAAATCATCGCCACTAAGCTAAAATAAAGTTACTTAACTTCTTTTAACAAATACATTGTAATGATAATAAATTAAGGTCGAAGCCTGACCTCATCGTATGTGTGGTACCGGGTGTGGTCATATTCAGCGTCACTCACGTCACGTGGTTTTCTTAATTTTTCTGCGAGCTTTTCTTCAACGTTTTCAACCTGATTAAAATAAAATGTAAGTAACAGTTTGTCTTGATGGAAATAAATACCAAAAATAGAAAGCGATTACATGAATGAAAGACTAGCAAATATTTTTTAAAAAATTGAAAAAAAAAATACTTATGGTTTAGAAAAAAATCTGAAAAGAAGCCTAGAAATCACTTTTTGAGAAGTGTAATGTTACAAGCAGTCATTGTTGCCAAGTGTCTGCATTGACATCTTCTGGTCACCCTTAGCCTGGATGACATTTGCGTCGGAGCATTATATGCAAATTATGGACGTTTTTCATAATGGCCGCAAAATATATTGAAATGTACATACTGTATAATCTAGCATTTGAAATTAACAATGTGCAAACAAAAATAAAATTCTGAAAATTCCTGAAATAGAAGGAACATGATAAGTGAAAGATAAAATTAGGACTACTATAGTTAGAAAAAATATTAATAATTATGTAATCTTCTATAGACTACGTAACTTATAAAACTTCCTCAGTGGCGAGTGAATTAAGTAAGAAAAATGCAGATAGTATAAGGGCAATTTCACAGTAATTGACACGCCGCAGACAATATTTCTTAGCAAGCTATTACCGCAGATCCTGTGGTATGACCAAAGATTTTATTGTTTAAAATGAAATATTTTTACATGTATATCATCATATTATAAATGAGTTTACATATTAAAAATCATTGCAATGTCATACAATTTTCAGTAAAAAAAATAATGATAAATTCACATACTTTCTAGCCATAGTTCACCATTCATGACAATAATGTTTCTAAAAGAAGTAATAGGCCTAATAGAAACTAATAAGATAAAACACCAGAAAGAAAAATAGAGCCATTTTTGCAATTTTATGACTTTTATATTCGTTGAAACATTTGTATGCCAAAAAGTTAAAAATAGTTCAATATTCCTACTAAAATGAAATCTATGTGTTATTTTTAAATGTTTATCCAATTGGTGAACATACATAGTAAGAAAATATTCCAAAAAATTGGTAATGGTGCATTTTATTTTTTAAAGGTCATTGATTCAAAAGTATATCAAAAATCTATTTGGCCTTTATAACGGAGTAGGATTTGTTGTAGTGTATTAAAATACAAAATGCATATTTGGAAATACAATTTGATTATCTATTCTCAACCTTTTTCAAAACATTGATATAATATCTTGTTTCACAGAGTTCGACCTAAATCCTCTGTATTCTATTTTCCATGAAAATGTCACTATAGCGTGTCCTTTTAATGTGAAACTGCCCATATACACTATCTATATCTATAACTGCATGTATCATATTATGTAATAAGATAGAGGTTGTGTCTTTGCTTGTACTAACAGTCCTTTTAACTGGTAAGTTACATATCAGAATTTACTATGGAAAAAACCAAACATTAGAAAGCAGAAAGAAAATATGGCAATTGAATACCAATAGATACCGTAATAAATATGGTTAAGTGTGGATCATTTATGAAGTCAGAAAACTTTGGTTCTAAGGTAGGCCTGCTTAACAAGTTGATAACAATAATATCTTATGTTTATGATGATATAATCTCCTCGTTGTATTACAGTGAATAGCAACATGTATTCGACCAATTTGAGACCAAAATGAATTCTCTACGAGAGAAATTTTGGAGATATAGAAATCGTCCAAAAATAGGGTAATTGTTCAAATCTGATATTTCCAGTCAATTTTGAAGCGAATATTGCAATAGAAACACATTCTGAACTACTTTAAAAGAAAAATCAAGTTTCTGTTACAAAGATATCGAGCCTTATGCTTCTATCCCTAATTTGCATATTTTAGCTAATTTGCATACGAATTTGACCAGGGAAAAGTGTAATTTCACTGTTCCCTGATTGGAAATAATGACGGAGGTGCGATTTTCATAATTTTATCTCCTTCTCACATGCCATCATTTAAAAAAGAAAAATCTTATATGTATATTTTAATTACTGTGGCGGCCATTTTGAAGAACGTCCCTAATTTACCTATAAGGTTCCAACGCAAGTGTAATGCAGGCTGGTGAAGAGGGGGGGGGGGTGATCAGAAGGTGTCAATAAAGACATCTGGCATGGACGACTGATTTTAACATTCCACTCCTCTTGACGTCATTTTTTTCATATTTGTTTCCTGGGCTATAGGTATCATTAAACAATTCTGAAAATGCCACGGTACCTTGCTCATGAAATTAGTACTTAGTAGGCCTAAAGTAGTAATTTTTAAGGCTTGGTCATTTATACATCATCTTGAATCCAGGAATAATCTTTCCAACAGAGATTTCAATTCTTAATTCACATAACGTGACTTGGGATTAAACTACGAAATATTACTTTAGTGACGTCAGGATTGCATAAAGAAATTAAATCGAAATGTCGTTTCATCACAACTTAGATTACAGAAATGAACTTACAATGTACGGAATACCGGCTGACTCCAAATGTTCAGTAAATATTTCGAAGCTATACCCTTCAACAACTATGTCGGTTGGAGTGCCCGGTGGGCCAGCTGAACGTAAGAACACTGCCTGCCGAATGATATTTTTTATCAATTACATATATTATGCAAATAAAAAAATGTTAGTATAGTTTCTTTCTTGTGAGAGAATTATCAGCATACATTTGTTATCGTAGTTATAATTTGTATAATGTATTTATTTATGTAACAGTTTAAGACCTTGGAGTAGTAGCAGCAGCAGCAGTGCAACACGAGTAGGGCAGCAGTAGCTTTCGGAAGGCCTACTAGTAGTAGTAGTAGTAGTGGTAGTGGTAGTGGTAGTGATAGTAGTAGTGGTAGTGGTAGTGGTAGTAGTAGTAGGAGGAGCAGCAGCAGCAGTAGTAGTGCAGTAGCAGCAGCAACATTAGTAGTAGTAGTAGCAGCAGAAGCAGTAATAGCAATAGTAGTAGTAGTAGTAGTAGTAGTAGTAGTAGTAGTAGTAGTAGTAGTAGTAGTAGTAGTAGTAGTAGTAGTAGTAGTAGTAGTAGTAGTAGTAGTAGTAGTAGTAGTAGTAGTAGTAATAGTAGTAGCAGCAGCAGTAGCAGCAAAAGCAGCAGCAACAATCCTCAAGAAGCAATAGCAGTAATTATGTTAACGGTACCTTATTTTCTTCTTCGTATACTTCTTCAAGATTATTCAAAATTACAACCTCCTCAATAGTAGTTGGAATTACACGGATAAATTGAAAGCTAAACCATGGTAAAAAATTGAATATTAAACAATGTTTGTATGCTTATTAGATTACAGTAACACCATGAAAGGCTAAAAGCATAATCGCTTGACGTATACAAAGAAAAACCAACATCTAACGAATTAATAATAATAATTATTAAACCCTACTTACATTTAAACGTGATTCGCTTATTTTATCTCTAAATAATAAAATACAAATACAAAACCACAGACGAACAGAGAACGGAAGAGAAAAGAGAAAGGATATACTGTAATCCCCAAAAGTTATTCAAATCGCTGTCAGGAAAATCTAAACGAACAAAACTCGATACCGTACTGTAAGTCTATATAACTGCTCAGCCTATACTACCCTGGTTCTTATTTAATTTGTTTAAAGGGCCAAAATTATTTTTAGAGTTGATGCTCGCGGGCCAAAAATTATCTCAGTCGACTTAAAAACAATCGTTAAAATTACCAAGTGATTAATTTATGGGGATGGGTACAGTGGCGGCGCCAGCGGGGAATGGGGGCCTAAGTCCCTCCTACCGGACAGGTCAAGCCCCCACCCCCCCCCCCCCCGCCGGACAGAGCTCGTCGGGCAGTCAGAGCATAAAACATATATAAATAGGTCCACACCAAGCCAACACGTCTGTCACAGTCTGAGAGTGTCATTTCTGGGCATCAAGAGGTTGCTATTCTTTAAACAATCTCATTTGGGAGTGGAACACTCCTCTCAGCCCATTCCCCCACCTCGAGCCTACGAGCTCAAGTCCCCCTTGTCGGGCAACTTTCCGCCCCCCCCCCCAAATATATCCTAGAGCCGCCACTGGATGGGTAGTTAAGAGTTTTTACTTGTAGAGTTTATAAACTATTTCCTTATTGAACGCGGTGTCCTTTGTATTTTTATGCGCGGGTCAAATTAAATTACTCTGCGGGCCAAATTTGGCCCGCAGTGTAATCTATTAAGAACGGCTTATACTAATATCTAAGAATTGTATTAGCATTGTAGCATCTAATTTGTTTTTAATAATCAATTCATGTATATAGATATAAATTTTTGAATTCCAAATTATTTGAATCATCATTGAAAAAATTAAGAAATTGAAAAACTGCAAGAATTGAAATGTGGATCTGGAGAAAGATATTCGATGTGTGACATTGAAAGATAGATTAACGAATGCAGAGAGGTATTCACAAGATTCAACACAAAGAGAAGTTTACTAAATAATGATGGAGCAAAGAAGAAAGAGGTGGATTGGGCGTACGTACTGAGAGGAAATAGATTATTAAAGAAGGTGAGTGAAGGGAGAATGGAAGGAAAGAGAACAGTAGGCAGAAAAGAAAGATGTTAATGGATATGATTAACATCGGACATTACGAAGAAATAAAAAGAATAGCGCATCAAAGAGATGAATGGAGGAACTGAATCTAAACTTATAAACGGACCAAGCACTGCAGACTACGCTGTAAAAACAGCGTGGAGGATTTAAACTCGAAGTTCCACGTAATGTTGTTCCGTCTTCGGTGACACATTTAAAAGCTGAACGTGTTTAGGTCCGGCCTAATGTGTTTAGGTTTCTGACATGTTTAGCATTAAATGTGCTTGACATCATGATGTCAAATACCTAAGCACAATTAATTCTAAACACGTCAAGGTCCTAAGTAAGCACATACGATATATCTAAACATGTTTTTAAACGTGTCACCAAAGACGGGAAAACATTGCGTGGAGCGATTAAATCCTCCACGCTATTTTTACTAATGATGATGATGATGATGATGATGATGATGATGATGATGATGATGATGATGATGATGATTGAATATAGGCCTATATGCCTACATTTTTTTTTTTTTTTTTTTAATGTGGTGTTTGATGTTTTGGTTTTTTTTTAAATATTTATTCATATTGTAAACCCAAAAGTGTTTTAACCTTTGTTGCATTTTGAGTATTTTATACCAAATAAATAAAATAAGTAAAGTATGAATAGTTTACAATATATTGTATCCAGATAATCTAATCTTTTATATTTCCATCCAGATAATATGTAGGCCCGTGTTTATGAGTTAACACTATTGAGGTGTAACGGTCGTGTAAATGTGCAAACATTTACGTCATTCGCATAACAGCGTTAAAACTGCACTTAAGTATGATGAGTTGCCGCTTCTTTTAATTGCCACATCCAGAAACAAGTAATGTTTAACAGACAAATGGGCCTCGAAATGGTGTTCATTTTACAAAGCACTATAGGCCTATGTCTACATCCCCATATGCCATTATTAAATAC